AGAAGAGGAGAGACACACTGACTGATGCGGGGGGGGGGACACCGACTTACGCTAGGGGAGGGGGGAGACACGGACCAAAGTTGGGGTCCCTTAAAAATTTCCTCGGCCAAAAAGGGGTTACGAGTGGAGAAAGTTTAAGAAAGCCTGCTCTAAACCACTGACCCAGAACAAGTATGCAGATAAAAACTGCTGACTTTTGACTTACCTCATTTGCATACTTCATCCATGACAGAAGGTCATGACTGCTGTGAGAAAATTAATTAACCATTTTTGGCCATAGTTCTCTTTAGGGTCACAGGAGGACATTTACTAATGTCCTTCTGTGCCCCAAAACTCAGCATATAGGGGGCTATTGCCCCTATATGCTGACAACGCAGAGTTGCACTGTTGCCGGGAAAGAGCCTTACAATTTTGTCGGGAACCACCCCCGCTGTCTGATTGACAGCTCGCTCTGCCACTCCAGAGGCAGGGCCAGCTGTCCCCGTCCCCTCCACCGTCCGTCCCTCCAGTCAGTGCTGGAGTAACAGAGAGTGAAGGGGGAATCCCTGCAGGGAGCGGTCACAACTCTGTGCAGGGAGAAGATTGGAAACTGAGTGATCAGCACTATGTGATTGCTCCGTTCTCGATCAAAAGAGCCGACATGTGACAGATGCAGCTCTAATTTTGGGGATGAGTGTATTTCACTCTCCCCATAATTCTCCTTTAAGCCACCGGGATATTATATTAGTTTCCAGACTTCACGTAATTAAGTTGAAAAGCTATTTTTCAGAAACATATTTATTTTCTATTAAAAATTCTAAGAACATGACTTTCCATGTCTTCAATTCAGACTGTCCTTTCTTCTGGAGGGTGGCTACTTTTATTCCCCATGGTCCTTGTGTGTGTTATAAAGTAGCCACCCCTCCAAGGTCACTCCCACGATGGACTACAATCTCACATTTAGTGTATTGATTTGTATTAAAATTATGGTCTATTACGGGAGCAAGCTTGGAGCGAAGGCTACTTTACAACACACACAAGGACCATGGCTCCAGTAGAAAGGACAGTGTCAGCATGAATTCTAAATAATTTCAGCTAAATAGCTAAGAGGGTTATTCACAAAAGGGTGAAGAGTTTGGAGAAGTCAGGAGAAGTGAACAATTTAGGCCAAAATAGCTGATTTGGAAAAATTCTCCAATTCAGCTGACTTTCCAGATCAGCTATGTTGTCCTAGATTGTTCACTTCTCCTGCCTTCTCCAAACTCTTCACCCTTTTGTGAATAACCCTCTAAATGATGCACACATAGGCTACACTAGTTAGGGTACTTGAATGCATTTTTAAGATTTAAGTGTTTAGTGTCACTTTAAGGTCTGGCCCTCTCCATACTGACACTGGCAGTATTGACCATAGTGGTAATCTAATAGGACATACAGCAGGAAGCAGTCCAATCTGCTCATTTTAAGGACATGCATATGAAAGCCCCCAACTGGATGTACAGTAGGTCTGCCAGGACACTAGAGGAGAGAGATTAAGGTATGTGCAGACCACATTTCCCTATTATAGCCATTTTAGAACATTTTGAGTGCTGAAATGAAAAAGTAATGGAGCTTTCTTTAAAGCATTTCTCTCTTTCTATCGCTCTTGCTTTTTTTCATTAATAATACATATCTCATCCCTTTGTCTCTAAATTACTCCCAAGGCACAATTTACCCAGATGTACAGAGACAGAAATCTAATAGGCATTAGATTGAATACTTTTATTTCCTAGGCAGAAAAGCATTGGAATCAACAGCCTCAATCCTTTGGCCTAGGACCAATTGATGTCTCAGCAGTCTTGTCTAATGTTGCTCTTAATTACCTCTAGAAAGTGGCTTATGAATTCTTGAAGTATTCAGGCATGTTCCATATTATAACACTTTAAAAAAAAAACAGGCCTTGAAATGTATACATGGAACAAAGTCTACTTGTGTAGAGCGACCATTTCTCATGTAAGGTAAATGTAGATCAATTAAAATTATTATAATTCTGCAAGCTTGACAATTAAAAACGTATTTAATTGATATTTGCTAACTTATTTGTTTTTAGTTTGTGGATGGACTTTGGATGTAAGGGTCGTAAATGAGCGGCTTCCTGAAGCTCATCCCCAGAACACCAGAACACCAGAATATGTGTAGAACATGATTGTCTCATAGTTTACAAGTAACTATAACATGAGCAGAGTTGGACTGCCTCCTGCTGTATGTTCTGTTAGATCACCTGTTATGCTATGATATTGTTATGTTCACTTACAACACACCATGAGGCTAGGCAAATCAGAAAATGTCAGACTTCATATGACATCTCATATCTAACTCCCAGGGCCCAGAGTCATCCTCGGACAGTGTAAATTAAGCTAAATAAAGGGGTAAATATATACATCTTACATAGATTTATCTATATACGGTAGCTATGATTATTTAAGAATATATAGTAAAGTTATACTAAACTCAGGAGTTAAACCTTAAAAATGTATTCAAGTACCTTAAAGGAGAACTATGGGGCCAGGGCATTTCCCCATAGTTCTCCTAAGGGTCACGGGAGAACACAAACTAGCGTTCCCCCGTGACCCAAAGCTCAGTATACCATGAGCTACAGCTCGCAGTATACTGAGACGCCGCAGCCGGGACAGATCCCCACAATTATGTCTGGATCAACCCAGCTGCGGGATTGACAGCTGGCTCTGCCTATCCAGAAGCAGAGCCAGCTGTGCCCGCCCCCTCCCCTGTCTGTTTCGCCAGTCAGCGCTGGAGGATCGGACAGGGGAGGGGGGGAATCCCTGCAGGGAGCCGTGAGTGACAGTCACGGCTCCCTGCAGGGATAGATCGAGAAGTGAGTGAGTGCCGGTATGTGTTCGCTCACTTCCCGATCTACTGAGCCGACCTGTGACAGATTCATTGTCACAGGTCGGCTCAGATTATGAGGCTGAGTGAAAATCACTCGCCTCATAATTCTCCTTTAACTATGTTGGAATACAGCAGCATATGCTGATATGTACTGATTGTATCACTGACATTATAATGTACTGATATACTGTTATGTCTTTTGAGCTGTAGATGGCAGTGTAGTGCAATGTTAGTCTCTCTATCTGCATGCTTGTATATCATACACAGGTTTTTCCTATCTACTGTATATGTTTCCTTTACAATGCTGCATTCACATGTAATATTCTTCTAAGCAGGTAAAACTTAATTCAGCATTCTTCACAATCTCAGTGCTTCATCTAAACACATAACCAACAAACTATTAACAAAAATGTAGCTGATTTGTGTATTACTCAGCTGTAGATTCTAAAATCCTCCCTGAATTGGTGCTGACACTATCTTTCCTTCTGGAGGGTGGCTACTTTTGTTCTCCATGGTCCCTTTGTGTGTTGTAAAGTAGCCACCGATCCAAGCTTACTCCTGGGATTGATTACAATCTCATGTTCAGTTTACTAATTTGTAATGAGATTGTAGTCCATCATGCTAGCAAGCTTGAAGCAGTGGCTACTTTACAACACAGATAGTCCATGGTCGCATCGCACTCCTGACCGCGTAAATCCCTTCAAGAATTGGGTGCTGCGGTAGTCAACGGGTGGCAGCCGTAACAATCGTGAGCTAAAGCCGAGACACCTCCACTCCAAATTTGCAAAATACGTCTATTTATTGACGTGCATTGTGGTAAAAAACAACTAACGTTTCGGGGTCACAAAGGATCCCCTTCATCATGTAAAACATACAGGGGAGTGTGTGTGTGTTGTAAAGTAAGCTAAAGCAGAGACACCGGCACTCCAAATTTGCAAAATACGTCTATTTATTGACGTGCATCGTGGTAAAAAACAACGAACATTTCGGGGTATGTTTTACCTGATGAAGGGGATCCTTTGTGACCCCGAAACGTTCGTTGTTTTTTACCACGATGCACGTCAATAAATAGACGTATTTTGCAAATTTGGAGTGCCGGTGTCTCTGCTTTAGCTTACTTTACAACACACACACAGGGACCATGGGGAACAAAAGTAGTCACCTTTCAGAAGGAAGGACAGTGTCAGCACCAATTCAGAGATGATTTGAGGATCTACAGCTGAGTAATGCACAAATAAGATACATTTTTGTTAATCGTTAAGGTACTTGAATAAATTTTTATGATTTAATTCCTGAGTTTAGTGTCACTTTGAAATTCCTTCATAAGCCCAGTAGTGACTGATTCTCTTTAAACCAAATTTGTTGAACGGACAGCTAAGAAACACAAAGCATGTCAGAGATCAAATATCAGCAGGCATAGACAAGACATTGAAGAGAATGTAGCTTCAGAAAATGGACTTAAAACAACCATATTGCTTGATGGAACCGAAACACTTATACTGGTTATACACTTATATATACTGGTTAAACACTTATACTGGTTATACTGGTATAGAAAGGATTTTATGGGAAGATGGTGGTCATCAGTATTACTAAAAACAGGAATTTTTCTGACTACAGCATGCCTTTACTGATAAATGTTATTGATTTCAATGGACAAACTAACAAAATATTTGAATGTTTGACATTTCCTTCCACCTCACAAGAGATTATTATCAGTTTGCTGCACCTAAACTACTTTATAAGCAGCTTGACGATTCCCAAATGATCATCCACAATTAAATCCATTAAGAGTTAAGTCAGTCATTTACGGCTTAGAACGATAATGGGCTTTTCTCTCCATTACTGAGGTCTAAATTATAGTAGTTAACGGAAAATTGTCATAAATGTGTTGTGATCCATTATCTCTCAAGCCATTGAAAATTTCAAGTTAATTTTTTTAAATGTTTTTTCCCCTATTCTTTTATTTATATACTGTATACCACCTTATATATTATATGCTGCATGTTTTATGTGAGGAAAATATGAAAATTAGTAAAATAAATTAATTTTGAATAAATCTGAAATAATAAACATGTGTCTCTAGGCATGTCTTAAAAATGTGTGTAATAAAAGTATATCCCATATGCACTGGTAATACAGAGGATGCTACTTAAGTTGCAGATGGTCATTGGTCCACGGAGCTAATTAGTGTTGGTGTGGAACACTTATGCACACTCACAGCTCCTATGTTTTTTGTGTTAATTATTGTTTGTATCACATAAAAAAATATTTTGCACTTATAAATTGGTAGGGATGTTGTGTACATTGTATGGTACATCCACCCCAATAAAGCAGGAAAAAACATCAAGAGGGATGAATACTTATCTATAAAAGAATACAAGCATTTCTCTAGACTGCATTTCATTTTAAAAATAATCAACTGATAGGCATTTAAGGACATTCGGGGAAAAGAACGAACTGAAACATTTTCACAAATATGAATATGAAAACACTGTCTCCATTTACCTTTATAATATTCATCGGTATATGCTGCATTAACCAGTTCATCCACTTTACCAGGCGTCTCATCAGCTTCCAGCAATATAGGAATTGTATCATTCATTCCATTTTTAAGATTCCACATGGCCTTTATTAAACATGTCTTCCCTGTGTCAGGATCTGGATATTAAAAAGAAATATGGAGTCCAAGACTGATTTATTTGTAGGTTTTAATGGACGTTCTAGACAAAACACATGTTTTCCTCCTGCAGCAAACAAAATACAGTAATTGAGATAGAGCCCATGACAGATGTACAGACTCACAGAGCGTTGCGGCTCAGGTACAATGCAAAGAACACAGGATATGAACTGTCTCATGACACCCAAAGTGTCTGCCCTTATTTTTGCCCATGGCAACTAATCAAAACCTCAATTACACATCAAAATGGGAGCCCAAATGGGACAATCTGATTTGCTGCTATGGATAATAAAAGCTGTTTGTTTTTTTTAGCATAACTGATATGTAGGATAAATATCAATATGTTTATAAGCAGTCTTTGCTGCAGTACAATGTACGCCCAGCATTCCAATTACATCACCCTTTTCAAAATACAAATCGGTGAGTGTACTGTATCTATAGCCTAAACATTTTTTGTAATTTAGGATTAAGTAAGGGATAGTTAAAACCCCTGCATCCCAGAGATGCAACAGGAACTAAGAGGAAATCTCTCCCAAGTAAGTGAAAATCCCCTGTTAGTTGTCATCAGAACAGTCATCTCTTTTACTCCCGTGACAACTGTTAAAATTTGGATTTTCCATAGCTTTCTCTACTGGTGACTACAGTGACCAATAGAGTGAGTACAGCTCATGCATGGCTACTAAAGGACTGCATGTATGATACTCCTAATAGCAATCAAGGTCAAAAGTCACAAAGTAATACATTCATTGTTACTGCTCATCACATACTGTAACATTCAGACATAAGAGCTATTATTTTAGTACAAATCCCACAATTATAATTCTAAGTAATAAAAACGGGCTGGAATAAAAAGGCCATGGTTTTACAAAGCTGCTCATTATACTGTGTTACTATAGAATTTAGGAAAGACTGAAGGCACAGCTTAAAGAGCCAGGAAAATTATACCAGATGCTGGTTTGTCTATGAGCGTTAAAGGAGAAGTACAGTGTATGTTCTATAGGTATCTAAAGTTTAAGAGTAATATTTATATGACTTTCCCATTTTTACAAGCTTTCCATATTATTGTTATTGTGTTGATCATAGAGATTTGTACATTGGCCACTAAAGTGAATATTTACAGGCCTTGTGCAGTTAAGCTGTGCATACACCTTGGGGTTGATTTACTAACCTTATAAACACACCACGAACATGTATACACCTCTGTAGTGTGTTCCCTCCCAGCATGATCTATGGGTGGAATCTAAACACCTTTGTAGTGTGTACACACCCAGCAGGTGTGTTGTGCAAAGCCCTGCCCTGAATTGCAAGGTGATGTTGTGTAAATTAGCTCTACATTGTGTTGCTTGCGTTGATGAATGCAGGAATGTAAATGCATGAGCTAACCATTTTTGTCTAAACTGTAAAGCAGCATTATATATGCATCATGTGCATAATTTTTCCATATATGGCATTAGTGGAAACATGCTTATAGAGACTTTTTGGTTGATAAATACGCTTTGCTGTGTAAAAATCACACGCACCTGGTGCGTGCGTGTGTTTAGGTTAGTAAATCACCCCCCTTGACTCAACTATCTTCTTTGGATTATTATTATTATTATTACAATACAGGATTTATATAGCGCCAACAGTTTGCACAGCGCTTTACAAAAAAGGGGGACAGCACAACTACAATACAATTCAAGACAAGATGGTTAAGAGGCCCTGCTGATGAGATATTACAATCTGAAATGGAGGGGCAATTGATACAAAAGGTGGTAGCTCTGTGGGGATAAGGTATCTGAGAAAGTGATAGTTCAGTTGTTAGGCAGAGGTGGGATAGACTTCCCTAAAGAAATGAGTTTTCAGGGACTGCTACAGGCAAAGTAAGAGATACTAGGATAGGTTAGGGTAGGTAGTTCCAGAGGGTGGAAGAGACTCTGGAGACATCCTAGAGGTGAGCATGGGAGGACATGATGAGGGAGCTGGTGTGCAGGAGGTCTTGGCAGAAGTGGAGAGGACAGTTTGGGTGATATTTTGAAACAAGGTTGGAGATGTAGCTGGGGGCAGGGTTGTGGATGGCATTTTAAGTGATTGTTAATATTTTGAATTTTGTTCTTCGGGCAAACAGAAACCAGTGGATGGATTGGCAGAGAGGGCTGGTGGACACCGAGTGGTTGGTAAGGTGGATGAGTCATGCATCCACCAACAATTATGTAGTGCGTAAATCTACCTGACTAAACACAAATTGAGTTGACTGTTTAGACAGGGCTTCTTCTACATAGTTTTGGTAGATCTAAAGAAGACTGAATAGTGATTGCAAATTCAGATTGAAATATGTATGGCCAGCCTAACGCTGACTCTAAGAGTGTATGTAAATCTTAACACTGAACTTCCCTTATTTGGTCTCTTTTGCTCTGTTAAATATACCATTGAAAGCATTTTGCCATATCTGTTTGATATTTTCATAAATACCTGTTGATCTTGCCAGAAATCTTGTGAGCTGATATTGCCCTGTGCTCTCTACTGACTGTTGTTAATTACATTGTTCTTGAAGGACTATAGAACCATGCCCCTCTATGTTATAATCAATAGGAGAGGGCAGAGTCCTATCTTGTTTCAGTTGTCCTGATACAGAAGGGTAAGTGCTGTCCTCCTAGAACTGGAAGTGCATTACTGGCAGGATCAATAGGTAAAATAATGAAAAAAGCTTTAAAAAAGAAAACCAATGCAGCCACAACATTTAAGGACTGCTAAGCTGCAATATATTATTATTTCACTTTTGGGTTTAGATATGCTTTAAGAACTGTTAATATAGGATATCAGCCAAACATAGTTGGCCAACTCATTGACAAACAATGTAGGAAGGAACAGCAAAGCTTCAACGCTCTAATATATGAAGCAAAGCTTACTGTATGTTTGTAATAGGGATGCACCGATACCAGTTCAGATACTAGTGCCGATACTTGGCATTTTCACGAGAACTACCAGGGTTGCAGCTGGGACCGGGCTCTGGCATTCCACCACTGTCCTGGAATCATTAGTCTGTATTGTTTTAGAAAAACTGTCACATGACACTAAACAAAAATGTATCAGTACTTGTATCTGTGAGTACTTGGGCAAGTATTGGTACTTGTACTTGCAAAACTGGTATCGGTGCATCCCTTATATATATTTATAAAAACAAAATCACACATTAAAACAGAGATGTACAAATCCCAGGAGCTCCGTGTTTACAAATGACAGCTGCCTCCTAATTTTTGAATTTTTCTCTAGTGTAGTCTTGGAGCTCCAAAAGTATCGGTACTTGTACGTGTACCGAGTACGGTACTTGGTATTGGTGCATCCCTAGTTTGTAATAGCCAAATACAGCTGATTTCATATGCAGACATGCATATATTACGAATTGCAAAACAATACCGGCGCCTTCAAATCCAAAAAGAGCCCAGCTCCAGATTCTCCCTGTCAGGGGTTCCGTCCTCTCACCCTATTCTACTGCTTTTTATTCTACCGAACTGTTGTAAGTACAGCCTTAGAGCTGCGTGTTTTTACTATTAACATTTTTACACTATGGAGGCGCTCTCTTTTGTTCTTTTTTTCATATATTACAAATTATGTAATGGCTTTAAAATAAACAGTTGCTAAGAGACAGACACAGTAACTGCATTGAGTCATTAATGGCCACTAGAGGGAACCTCTGGTAGCCATTCTACAAATCTGTATCATTAATAATTGTATGTATGTACAGTATGTATGTATGTATGAATGAATGTATGTATGATTCATTTAATAATAATCACATGAAAAAGTAAGCTTGTAAAATATATTATTATTTGCATTAAGCAGTGCCTTAGGTCTCGCACTGCAGATAAATAGCACAGCAGTGCCAAGGCATCCTCACAGGGGGTTCCTCTGTGCTACTGTATAGAGAACATTAAAAACAAATCTCACAGCTTTGGTTAACCTGTTACATCTTTTATGAGGGGTCTCACTGCCTCCATGCAATTTTTACTTATTATACACTATATTTTAAATAATGCAACAGGAAGAGGAGCAGCAACTACTGGAGAGAAGGAAAACCCACAACTCCCAGCTGGACTAATATCCTCAAGATGCATTAGAAGGCAATAGCAAACACAACCCAACAGACTCCACCTGCAACTGAAAACAATTGGGTGTATTAACCATTTAAACTGTATGATTCTTGTAATCTTTCCTTTAATTAGGCTCCCATGCCAGCTGAATTTCTAAATTAGACTGATAGTGCAAGAACCTGCTCGAACCGGGTATATATGATGACAGTAGAGAGCAGTGCCAAATGACTCCTTCAGTCTTCATCCATCTCGGTATGAAGATGTTAGAGGATACGTTAGACAGTGCATCATTTCATAAGCTGATGAATGATGTGTTTATACATACAAGTTTGTGTCAGGAGACAGTGACCAAGAAGAACCACAGGCCCAGAAATTGCTACTACACTGCACACTAAAGCAGCCATATGGCATGTGCGACAATGACAGAAACAAAAGCTGCATACACAGAACAGAATTGAATATACTGGTAGGTCACCAATTGTCTTTGTAACACTAGTGAAACTTTTTATCCTATTTTACATGGATATAATTTGAAGTTATATCAGCTGTGTAGGGTCTTTATGTAACAGAGACAATAGTCACCAATAGTCACAGGCAGCCTGTGACCATTGGTGACCATTGTCTCTGTTACAGAAAGTGATGGGAAATCCAACATTGTCAAGTTGTCACAGGAACAAGAATAGAGCGGAAAACATCCAATAGGAAAACCTGCTCTGAGAGGGGATTTTCCCCCAAAAAGATCTCTTCTTACTTCCTGTTATGTTTCCAGGGCAGGAAGTGAAATTAAACTCCCAGATAACCATTAACCATTGGTTAACCATTCCCCTATGCTATCCAAAGCTAAAAATAATGTTTTGACTTTACATGCAGGATATAATTGTTAGAGTAATAGGCTTTACAGTCTCCTGTACAGCACGGGTTCCAGATCATGGGGCAATGGTCCATCATGTGACTTGTGTGTACAAAGCCATACAACTTCTCACACAATGTGTCTTTTCATGAAGCTTAGCACTCAACAGATAAAAGCCTGAAATATTCTGTTAAGTTAAAACTGAATGTCCCAATAACCTAGGAAATTAAATAAGTGCACTAGTTTTAGGACTGAAAGCCTAGTTCTGTCTCAGTTATTTCAAGATTTATAATATCACTTAGCAAAATGCAACCAATTACTTACTTTAAGAAAATATTATCATTTGCACAACAGTTATTTTTATGGTAATAAGCCTGGATCATTTTATTGGTTACTAATTATCATAATCATCATTTTCTTGCTGAATAAACCTTTAGGGGGTTGGGGAGGGACAGTTAACTGAGTAGGCCAGTCCACACTGCCTTTTGACAAACCAGGGACACCAACTCTTTCTGGGAAATTCAAGGTCCTCAAAGGCTATCCATAGCTGTATAACCTTCCCAAAACTATCTCTCTGGTATTTAGGTCTACCCTTGGATTGGAACAATCCACATCTCATGACAAATTAAGAGTATCCTGGAAACCCTGTAGAGAAACCTAATATCTTATGCTCATACCCATGATCTTATTCTTTCGGTCATTAACCAAAACGTATAACCATATAGCATCACCGAGAACTTGACTGAAGCTGTTATCATTAATGTTAGTACATAAAGAACACAGTGACATGCAACTTTTCCAAATGCAATAAAAAAATTTTGTGAGAGTCTTCCTGAGAACCCAGGCTGTTTGCAGGTTTATTCTGTTTATTCTGAAGCTGGCCATAAACTACTGGAATTCAAGCAGTGTGTGGCCCTGATGGCACCCTTTCAATTTTTCAAAAATAAAAAAAAATATGTCAGCCAAACAGTGATTCCAGTCAATCACCTGTAGTCACTATTATGGTATTGTGACAGCAGTAGGTTTGTGTACAATAGCCAACAAGGGAAAATCCCTCATTCATGCTGTTCAACATGGATTGGGAAATCATCTTTTTTTCATCATTCAGCATGCTGGGATGAATGATAGAAATTGCATAGTGTATGGAAGTCTTTAGCTGATTGTTTCCAGGCCATTGTGTGTCACTTCCCTGACGGCACCTTCCCACCCCTTGTTCACCTATTTGTGATCTCCCATCAGCCCCCAGGGTATTTATACTCCAGCATTTTCTGTGAGAGGCTTCAGTAGTATTTCATCTCCATGTTTGCTATTTGGAGCCTTTTTGCCTTCGTCATGGTTGCCCCATGGTATCCACTTTTCTGTGCAGTTTCTGGCCTTTGCGAACCACCATTTTTCTCTCTGTCACTCCTTGTCTCTTCTGTTGCTACTCATGTCAACCACTCCTGTGATACTCTGTAGTCCGTATCTCCTGCTTCCCCTTGTTTTTGGATTGGTTATGACTCTAGATCCCTTTTTTGTAGTACTGCTTAGGTTCCATTCATCTGGCTAGCTCTGCCTCCTATGGAGTTTGTTCTTTATCTGTTTTTGTCTTTCCCTAGTCTGGTTACCTTTTGTGTCTGGTGCTTCTTTGTGTACCTTTCTTGTTAGTGGTTAGCCTGCCTGTCTCTGTCCACTCCCTACTCTCTATGCATCCTGTAACCTCTGGTTAAGCCGTAGTCTGGTTTCCCATGTCCAAGCCCAGGGGCTGACTGGCAACTTTTAGTACAACCTAGAGGCCCATGGTGCAGCAACTTGGCCTCGCTTCCGCTCTGCCTCTTCCCCCCGCCTTCTCCTTGCCCGTCTGCCACTTTTGCCATCCATGTAACGGTAGTGTGAATGGTCGGGTGATGTGAGGCAGGGAGGAGGTGCGGTGTGTGGAGCGTGGATGCGGGCGGGCGGGTCTGGCAGGGGCAAGCGTGAGGCGGGGAGGAGGTGATGCATGTGGATGCTAGCGGGTCTGGCAGTGGCAAACGTGAGGCGGTGCGGCGTGTGGAGCGTGGATGTGGGCGGGCGGGTCTGGCAGCGGCAAGCGTGAGGCGGG